CCTTTTGGATAAATTCCTTTGTGTCTTGATTGTGTGTCTCCCTTTATGTTGATGATTAGAGATGCTTGATTGCCATTCATTAATGTTTAAGAATGCAGCTGATGAAAGGAAAAGTTATCTTAGCCAAAGTAAAAATGAGATGGTCTCTCTCCCCCATTATTTATTTGAGTGGGAATTCTGACTAAGAGTTTATTGTTGAACAAAATGGATTTTATAAAGTGTCACGATTTGATTAAGGTGCAGGAGCTAAGAGTTGTTATGATATATAGGTCTTCAAATGAAGACAAATTTTCTTTTTTTTTGGGGGGGGGGTATTTATTATTTATTTATTTATTTATTTTTTAATCTTTATTGTTGGTTGTTCAAAATATTACATAGTTCTTGATATATCATATTTCACACTTTGATTCAAGTGGGTTATGAACTCCCATTTTTACCCCATATACAGATTGCAGAATCACATCGGTTACACATCCACTGATTTACATATTGCCATACTAGTGTCTGTTGTATTCTGCTGCCTTTCCTATCCTCTGCTATCCCCCCTCCCCTCCCCTCCCCTCCCCTCTTCTCTCTCTACCCCAAATTTTCTATAGTATGCCAAAAAAACACAATAGAAGCATCAGATTTACCCAGATAAAATATTTAATTTATTTTAAAATAAGTTTTGTAAATGCCAGCAACCTGAGCTCAGCACACTGAAGTGGAAAGAGAATGCTACAGTTCTGAGTGGTGTAGTTGTTCCATGAAATAATCCTAATCTTTTTTCTTTGCAATTGTAATTTCTCCATATGCCCTGTGTTGTGCTTGCTGACTCCAAGTGAATAATCTGTTTGGAATTTTATGGAAGGGACTGATTTCTACCTCTCTGGCCTACTGATGATATGGTGTAGGTTCAAATTCCCCTTTGCCTGTCTCATTCATTATCACGTGCTCAGACACTTTGATCTTTCAGAATTTTTATGAAATGTTTGCTTCTATGATATATTTATTATAATCTGTGCTTATAAAATTCATATTTGCAAGGCAAATATGAATCATTTCAGGTGGGAATGCTATTTAATGTCATGTTTAAATTTGAAAATATTCTTATTTAATTATTTGTATTTCATATAATTATATTTTTATGTTTCTTATGCAATATTTTCTCAAATACTTCTGTGAATGCTAATGTGCAAGTTTTTAATTTTCAAGATTTATTCTGTTCCCAGAATTATACAATCGAACTCAAGATTTTTCTAATTTTTCTTATTTTGTAATAATTTTAGCTTTAAAAAAAGATTGAACCCAGTCCTAGAATATCCATTGTCTTTAGAGAAATTTGCCAGATGCTTACATAAATATTTACATTTTACTCTATTTGCTTTATCATTCTTTTCCCCCCTCTCTTCTCTTTCTTTCTTCTCCCTCCCTTTCTCTATGTAATACATTTCTGCATTATTTTAGAGTCTGTGGAGAGATTATGCCTTTTTTTACCTGATTTGTAATATACTTGAATGTTTCATCATGTGCTAAAATCTAGACAGATATAGAGTAGGTAGTTTCTGAATTGCCAACCCATACTACGGATAAAAGATGAAAGTAAATCAATTCAACTATTGTTGGTTATTTCTTTATAGTTCTTTTCTTTCTTAAACAAAAAAAAAATATGAACAGCAAAATATACAAATCTTAAATGCATAACTCAATGACTTTGAATAGTGTGTTCATGTATATAAACCCAATCATATCAAGATACAGAACAATCCTGGTGCACAGAGATGTTATCTCGCCCATTACTAATCAATCCTCTTAGCCGAAGGCAACAACTTTTTAAAATTTCTTCACCTTTATACATCAGTTTTACTTGCCCTAGAACTTTATGTAAATTGGATCATTTTAGGTAAATAAGATTGTTTTGCATATGGTTGCTTCTACCCTGTATTGTTTTTGCCGCATTCATCCAGGTTGCTGTGTGTAACAGTAGTATGTGTATCACTGAGTAGTGTTCCAGCACCATGAAAAATAAACATTTTGGTAAAACTTTTAAAAGACAATATGGTTTATAATTGATAATATATTGTATTTATAGCTCAGTTTGATCCAATGCATGTAGTTTAATTTTCCTTTTAAGTCTTTTAAAATTAAGTTTTTTTCCTTTGTATTCCTAAGAATTATTTTGTATTTTGCTTTTTTAGTGAGTTCTAAATCATTTTTGTTTCACTTATCTATTTTATTCAAATATGTAATTAATATATGCATATTGCTCTTTAAATCTTGCATTATTTGCTTACTATTCATAATAAATTTTAATGTCTTCAGAAATTTCTACATATGCAATTAAATTATCTGCAAATAAGAATTGCTACACTTCCTTATGCAGCTTGTTTGCTAATGTCAATATCTGGTTAGTCCCAGAGTTGAATTTCTATTGTACTTTCTATTAACTACATATATTTTCCTGTCTCTTCACAGAGATAAGAGTTTCTAGGTGTATAATGGACATTTTGGATGATGTATTTTAGTCTCCAGATTTCATAATGTACTCTGGAATAATATTGATTATTTCTTTCTTCATTTGTTCAGTTGATTTGTTGTTTTGTTTCTTGTTCTGTTAAGCAATTAAATTGATTAAACTCAAACTCAAAATTCTGTTACCTTTGCTATTGAAGCAGCAGCTGAAATCTTTCCTAATTATTTTTGCCTTGTAGATATTTATTTCCACCAGAAGTATTGAATTTTCTCCATACATGTGTAGTTCAGGTGTATTGTTAGCCGAGGATTAGGGTAAAGGTTAAACATAAATTTGAAGTCCCATTTCCCTTGACCTTCTTTTCTCCTTGATTTTTTTTCACTTTTCTGATTCTTTTGCAAAACCAAATTCCATTTAAAAAATGAGCTTTAGTTAACTTTCTGATGAAGTAACTTACCTTCCATAAATTGATCCTTTTATCAACTTTGATGGGATTAGAAACAAAAAGATAAATTTAACATTTTTCATTTCTAACATTCTGATATCATCCCACTTGTCCCTTTTTTCTGTCATTTCAGTGCCTTCAGATGATTGTTTAAGCACATTTTGTTTATAGTATATGATTGTTAAACCAGTAAGCAGGCTGATTTAGTACAAGCTACTCTGTATTGAAATAGGAAATACTTTCTGTATTTTTGCATAAATTTTCCATTAATAATGCTCTTCCAAAATAATTGATACTTTGATTATTTTTTCCTATTTTTAGTGGGTTGAAAGATAGTCCCCCAAAATGTATGTCTACCCTGAACTTGTGAATACTGCTTTACTTAAGAGAAAAGTTATTTGCACGTAATATTAAGAATTTTGAGATGATCATTCTGGATTACCTGAGTGGGTTTTAAATCTAATGACCATGAGTTCACATGGGAGAAATTAGAGGGATGTTTGAGACACATAAAGAAAGAGAGAGAGATGTATGGGTGGAGGCAAACGGTAAATGAAACTGCAGTTGCAAGTCAAGGAACAACTGAAGCCTGCAGAAGTGGGACTTGGGAGAAAGAGCAATCCTGCTGATATTTGGGATTTGGCACAACCACCACTCTGACAAAATCCATTTCTACTGTTCTAAAACATGCAAGTTTTGGAAATCCATTGCAGGAGCCCTGGGAAATTAATACAATATTTAGAAAAGAGCTGTAGAAGATTGACTAGTAACTGTGTGAAAATAGCTATTGGTTTCAATTAGGATGTTTTGCTGTAGACTGTCTTTTATTCTGTGGTATTAAATTGCCAGAAAGATGGAAGACTTATAATCTAGTCAGGAAGAACCAACTATTTTAATTTACCCAAGATTTTAAAAATCAAAATTGTCTAATACTCCCACATTTGTCTTGAAGGTAAATAACTCCTCCTGGTAGACCTACATGAATGGAGAATCTAAGTCAGCTTAGATTTTTCCCAGATAATTTTAAGATCTTTCAACGTAAATTTTACACATTTTATTTCCTTCTAAATAACTAAGGATGTACATAATTAACCTAAATTTAAGATTTGTTAATGATTCCTTTTTCTTTTCATTTTTCTTATTGTTCTTCTTCCTCTTGTTTAAGCTTTTTTTCACAGGAACAGATTCAAATATGGTCATTTTGCTGTCTTAGGAGAAAAAACTGTAAGAAATTTAAATACATTATCTCATTAAATAGTCAAAATATCTTGCCCCATTTTACATAAATAATAACTGAAATCTAGTTGTTTTAATTAAGTTTCCAAAACATACACAGCCAATAAGTAGCAAATTCAGACTTCAAGTTCAGTTCTGATTCTACTGCATGTGGCAGTTCTCTTTTATTCAGCAAACATTTACAGAGTATCAAATATATACCAATTGATAAATATGAATATGTAACATGTTTTTGTACCACAAAACCTGTGTATTATGGTGTTTCTTTCTTCAATTTATCTATAATAAAAAAAGTGGCATATAAGTATATTAGGATTTATTCAATTTCTCTAGAAATCACAGTAATTTCTATGGATATTATGTGATAATAGAATATTCTAGAAAATGTGTTTTACATAAGTGATAATGATACCACATAGAAAATAATTATAAAATAATACCCTAGAATATTTGTCATCTGTTGGCAGAAACAGAAAAGTTATTTCCATCTATATTGATGTCTGACTACTATTGTGCCATACCCAGGCAAAACCACACAGTATTTTTGACAGCCAAAGTCTCTCTGCATTATATCTAAATTTATAACTCACCTTTTGTTATATTGCTAATAAAAACAGTATAAAATACTATCTTGTCATTTTAAATCTGCAATGGAAATCTTGTTATATTTCAAAAAATGAGTTAACATTTTGTTATCTAAAATACTGTGCTAGAACAAGGTTTACCACCATTTCTGTGAGCTGCTGACTAAATATTGATTGGGTTAAAAGTTGCAACATTAACTTCATGGGAAAAGCTTTTCAACTTTTTATGGTACAAAAGGGCATTTTGTGCTTAGGTGACTTGTGACTAAATCGATATAGCATAGCCATGGCTCACGATCTAGCATAATATCTGTGAGTCACACAGTGATGCTTCTAGCTGCCCATAGCATTTTAACTTAAAAAGAAAAGTTGTAAATGTAATGAACAATCTAAAAGGTAAAGAAAAAAATTCAAATGGAAATTAAGAAATTATACCCTCAATCAATTCTTTAAAGTAGATACATAAAGATGTCAATACTATAGCAGCCAAGTTTGAAAAGAAAAGAAAGCTGTTATAGTTGTATTAAGCCATTTAATGTTAGGTTTTCTTGCTTAGACTTTCTGTCATTGAGGCTGAACAATACAAGGTTTTATTCAGAGTTAGCTAGAATATTTTCTGTGTCAAAGAAAACCTTTAATTGAAACTCTTCAGTTACGTAGAAAAAAATGTTCCTCTTTTCCCCCAAATATTGTTACCAATATATTGAAATTTATTAAGATAAAATGTCAGATTTGGTAGTTCTATTGAATCAAGGCCTATGGTAAATGATACTCATCACTTATTTTTTTTAAGTTTCATCCAAATTCTAGGCTTTTCTGATGCTGGGAAAGAAGCTTTTGATGTATATTCTGCATGCATTCTGTGAGTAAAAGAAGTTTTCTTTCATCTTAACTTAAAAATATGTGTATTTTAAGGTTAATTATTTACAACAATATAGAAAATCTTCAGAAATAAAAATAATTCTCAATTTAAAAAAATATTAAAATTCTCATTTGATCAGCTTATGGAACATATTTGAACACACACTGAATTCAATGAGTATGTACTTATTGAAAATATTAAATATGTTCTACATTGTGCACAATGTAAATGATTAAGTTAAACAGATTAACATGTCCTCAAATATTAAATTTAAACTATTACACTTCAAATGTTCACCTTCATCTGTATTGTAATTGTGAAAGCAGCATAAATTTTTATAGAACTAAGCAATATGAAATGCTGCAGCTCACAGCCACAAAAAAGAAAAAAATGTTCATTATATTTCCCAATTTAGAATGAAGGGGAAAATGTCCTCTCACTCTGAACAAAAACTATTTTTAAATGAATCATGTCTAAATTTTACTATAATAAAGTATTATTTTGAAAATAGCTTTGTTAAATTGAGCATGCTAGTGAACAATCTTCTCTACATCTCTACATCAATGACACTGGTAGATACTAATATATAATTATTTGAATCAAACTTTTGAAACAAGTGTCTTTTAGCAATTTTTCAATATTGCTATTTCATTTTGAGTACCAGATGTCAGCAGAGTAGAAAACATGTTTATTTTGGTCTCTTGGTCCTTCAGGATTTGTCTGACTCAATATCTTCTCATCTTTCATGGATGTGTATTTAGCCTCATTGAGTGAACAGGCTTTGAGGAGCAGCAATCTGCATACTTCTAAAAGAAATGATTTGGCCACCTGCACTTTTGGAAAATTGTATAAAAAAGCTATAGAAAATTTTCTAAGGCATGAAATATCAATAAATATTTTAAAGATTTTGGATCTCTTTGGAATGTGAAGTCTCTTTAAGGTGCAAGTTCTTACATTTAGAGAGAAATAGAAGTGAGCTTGGTGATTTACAAATCTGACAGAAAAAAAAAGTTGGTAAAGTTTAATCTGATTCTTATTTTAAATCAAATGGTACAATATACTTTAGCAATTCCCAAATAGCATGTTCAAATTAGTTTACATATTTCTTTCTGCCTTTTTATACCTCTGCCACCTGTTCCCCACCCTCTCTGCCCCTGCTTTTCTTGGAGAATCTCAATGCTTATTAGTTATTAGTGACTCTGGAAATTCTATGTAAAGCAATTTATCTGTTCCAAATTCTTGCTTATGCATAAATTCTACTCACCTGTTAATGTGTAGCACATGAAAATATATGTTCTATGTGTTAATATTTGGTTAATAGGGATGAATTTGAATATGGAGAAGACCATGACTAATTACAAGAATTTTTCAAAGCCATAAGATGTAAATAAACAAAGTCTACAGATTCTACAAAGCTAATTAAAAGTAACATTTTGGAACTTATACTAAAGTTTTTCTTATGTCTGAATTGCAGATTAATTTATGAATTTGTGGTTGTTTCATCAGAATTGTGAAAGATTTCCATTTTATATTTCTTGCTTTAAGTCTGGAGAAATTGTGATATTGATCTAAACAAAGAAACAACTTGACTAAGTTTGCATTCTGTTCAAGTTTATTTTTTTTTGGAAAGAAAATTCAAAATACCTTCAAATTTATACTTACTTATATTACTAATAATTGTAACAAATGCCTTCCAATGTTTTCAAACTTTATAAAACCATTTCCATGTCTATAAGTAGACAAGGATTTTTTAAGACCTATCACTTAGCATTATATTTGGGGGAAGATATTTCTTATTTTCAATTTGCATCTATTCTCAATAACTAAAGCTATTACGAGCTTTACCTTTCTAAACGTATGGTGCTTATTTCAAGTTACGGTGACAATGCCTTTTAAAGTCTAATTAACTAATTATATTAAAAGATTTATAAGTAGTAAGCTGCTGTATTTTAAGAAAATGATAAAATATTGATTGCATATTCTATACAATTATGCATAATTACATATACTTGAAAAAATTCGTCACCAAGTCATCAATTTTAATGAGATATTTTCTCTATGGAATTAACTTTGGTTATATGAGTTAACCTTAATAGCCTACTGCAGGAATTCAAAGATCTGCGTGTAAGACAATGATAATGATTGTATTATGCTACAATTTTGAATCTTTTCGAATTAATATTTATATTTGAATATATTATGACATTTGTCATTTTCACCATTTTTTACCAGAGTTAGGCAGGCAGAAAAACTTTCTTTTCTAATAGAAGTGATAAAAACATTTGTGGTGATAAGGACAAGCAATTTGAGGCAGAGGATAATGCATGTATCATTATTTCCTTTAGGAATAATCTTACGATGATTGCCTTGTGAATTTCATGTACTCCACAGTTCTTTTTCACTATTTTTTCAATGTTGTCATTGAACCACATAAAATAGAATCCATTGGGAATACTTAATGTCCAGTTACACATTTAAGAGATAGACCTACTGAACAAAATAGGTCTAATATTTTAAAGTAATCCCTTTAATGTAATAAATAAAGTTTGAAAACATACCTCCAGATATGGAAATTTTAAATAAGAAAATTACTACATATTAGTGGTTCCCAAATTGTCCATTCACAAACACGTATATGGTAGGAGGTTTACTCTGTTGCTAAGCATTTTGGGGTGTTAAGGTCTGTAAACAAGTCAGGATGGCGCCTGGCATTTTGCCAGAGGGAGTGGTTTGTGAATTAACGCCAGCGAGCCATTAAGTGTGGAGATTCCTTATTGGTTGACTGCTGTATCTAGTTTATGTTAATTAAGATAAGCTGTGTATAATGTATATATACCCCTCCTGTCCTACAATAAAGGGCTCCTACTCCTGCTGTATCAATGTACACAAGTTGTTTGTCACCCCCCGGTTATTTTGCTGCAGCCGGACTGCGGCATTGGGGTCATGAGACTTCTAAGAATTATATACAATAATGAACAGAGTCAATATGAAAATTAAAGTTGATGGGTAATTATTGTGATGAGGGATATGCATCCTTAATTTTCAGTTAGTTCAACAGATATTAATTGATTGCCTTTTACTTTTTTAAATATGTATTTTCAGTTTTTAGGTGGACACAATATCTTTATTTTACATTTATGTGGTGCTGAGGATCAAACCCAGTTTCTCACTCTACTACTGAGCCAAAACTCTAGCCCCATGTGTTTTACTTTTGGGGGGAATAAAAATACTTTTATATTTCTCATTTATTCTTTCATACATCCTTTCAATATTTATATGTTGAGCACCTACTATATTCTGGAAACTTGTGGGAAATGAAGCCAAATGTATGACCCTTGATTCCTTGGAATTATCAGCCTGGTGACAGAGACAGAAAAAAATACAGAAATAATCATAAAATTACAATCATGTTAAGTGCTATGAAATAATGTTCCATGAAGCTATAAGCACATTTTGGGATAAAAGATAGTAAAACTTCATATGTGAGGAGTGAATGAAAGCTCAACAAATCACAGCAGGGAGGCTGGAAACAGCATCCACTGGACAAAGGAAATGTTATGAGTACTCCTGAAGTGTCCAGATTGCATAAACTATGACAAAAATTTGTAAAGATACTATCTAATGATGGCATTAATTCTCTGTGGGAATGTAGAATAGTTTTAACGAATAAAATAAGATTTTATTTGTTTTAATATTTTTGCTTAATTTATTAAATCAGTGTCCAAGTGAATAATTATTTAGTATAGGGCACAATCAAGTTGAACAATGTTAATTTAGATTATATTAGACTCTAAGAATCAATTTAGTAAGTCCTAATTGACAGTGGTACTGTTATCACTTTAAATTTGATAACCTAGAAATGCAGTAATTTCTATAGCTACAGTGTAAAGAGGGTATATTGAATGAGTAAAGAGTGTACATAACTCAGATGGGCAAGGTTGTTTTACTTCAATGCCATGCATTTAGTTTAATAAACTATCTTCATTTGACTTTATAATCCAATTTTATTTTTTTAGTATTTTTTATATAAAATACTAAAATATATAAAATATATAAAATACTAAAATATATAGTATTTTTTAGTATTTTATATCCAGCATCTGGAATCTCATTTGCAGGATAAATTTCTTCACAAAATCAGACAGATCCTGCCTCTCACCACAGAAATTGAAAATGTTAGGCACTTCCAGCTTAGATGGTGCACATGACTCAAGTTTCTCCAATCGAGGTCCTCAAGGCCACTGGGCATCAGGAAGATTTAAAAACAGAACTATACATCATGATACACCTTTGACAGCTTTGGTTTCTGCCTGGTTCCCCAGCATAATTATTAATGTTATTAATTACCTCTTTCTCTATCAGAAGCAAAAATTTGGGCTATCTACTGTGAAGTTCCTCTTGTGGCAGAGGAGGATGGAATCAGAATGTAGCAGTACCAATGCTACAGGTAGTCTACAGGTAGTTTCTGAAAGAACTAACAAGGCTCATCGTCAGAGAAAATGCTCATTTATTGAGGAACAGCTCTGCATATTTATAGAGCCGGGGGTGATTTGACAGTTATGACAGTTTAACAGTTTTGGCACGGGGTGCTTTCTGATTGGTGGGTAAGGATCATGTGAGCCAGCAGGGCTAGTCTTATTGGTGGGTAAGGATCATGTGAGCCAGCAGGGCTCACCATTGGATGGCTCTTTTTTGGGGATGGGGAAGTTAGTCTTTGGAGCCCAGGCGACTCCTAACATTCCTCCCTCTTTGTTATTAAATGAGAGTAGGCATCGACTCATTCTGGCTGCTTCCTGCTGATATGGGGCAGCATGGAAGAATCAGAGAGGAGGGAAGTAAGTGGCCCCAACAGGAGGGCAGAGAGGACTGGTATAACTTCAGGAACCAGATCAACGAAGGTTTCTTGCCACCACAGATCCATGATGATGTCAGTCTATTTGGCATAGGTTTCGACTGGAGGTATGATCAGTAGCCAGGAGTTGGTAATACCTGAGGAGAAGCTGGTTAAAAGCTTGATTAGAAAGTTTTTACCCACTTGAGTCTGAATGAACTTTATGATAAAGGGAAGGAACAGGCACAGGGAGTTTTAAAAGCCCAAATCTAATGGGGTCTCTGGGTCTTCAAACTGCCTTGTTGGCACAAGGGGGGTTAAGTGTTCAGCCTTGAGCGGGGGCTTGGGCATTTGGGCTTGAAGCAAACAGATGATAAAGAACCACACAGAGGGTTTGAGAAGCCAGGTTATCCTGCAGCTAACTTTGTTTGGCATGCCCTACAGACCAGCCTGTCCTGCACCTAACACCCTCAATTCCACTCTTCATTCCTAATCCAATCAAACTCTCCCCTACCTGGGTGTCTCTGAAACCAGCTTGCTTCTCTCTTTACCTTTCTCTGGCCCTTGGATCCCAAAATATCTGTTCCCAGCTTTCCCTAGTCTTGTCTCTCTTCACACCAAGAAAGCACGGGCTTTGTAATAAAGAAGGCAGCTTCTCCCACGCTCTGAACTAAGGTGGCCAAGGGAGGACGGGGGCCCATTTTTACCAGATTTACCTTTGAGAGCAGTCAGATCTCTCCAGGTTTTATGTGAAACACCTCAACCTTAAATGCTGATACTTGAAATTCTTATGAAACTGGGAGGGTAAACAAAACACATGTTCCTCTCCTCTTTAGGCCCAGAAGGCAACTGATAAAGTGGTCTCTTATGATAAAGGTAGTTCACACTTATTCAGGGGTCACCATGCTCCAGACACCTAAGTGGTCTGTCAGAAGGATAACACATAACTGTCCCACTACTGCCCAGATCCAAGAAAGTAGGGGGTCTGTAAGTAGGAGAAGGGGGTCTGGCTGGAGA